TATGCTGGTAACAAAAGATAAATATAGCAAATCTTTTATGTTTTGAGAATAACTTGGGCTTTTATATTGAAGAATATTAACAGGTACTTGTACTTAATGTGTCTCTAAAAATGTTTTCAGCTAACAGATGGCCTTCAAGATGTCTTTTTGTTTTTCTGAATGAATGAGAAATCAGGAAAAATTCTGGCCACTACAAAAACAAGCTCATATTCAGCTAAACAAGAAATAGTGAGGTTTCTAATTTTGGTTTATGGAAGTCAGTTTTTTTCTTTAGACTCTAAAAATTCGTGTAACAAAGACAGTTTTAATTGTGTATTTTAAGCCGATGTTCAGTTTTTTCCCTCACATCAGAACGAACATTAAACCTAAAAAAGTCCAGGTTTCTGTCACTTTGGAAGAAAGGCTGGGGGAGCATGAGACAGACAAAAGTTGTGCTGCGTGGCCGTCCTTGGAAGGTTTTTCCATCAAGGAGGCTGCCCAGCTTCTGCCCCCCCCAGCCGGCCCAGGGCGCTGGGTCAGAGGCCCCCAGAATCCTCAGCTCCAAACAGAGCTGTGCCTGTGGTGTGGTTCTGTAATTCTTTTCTTTGGCTTCGGGGTGAGTCTCTCCTATGCTGGCTGCATTCTTTCCTCACCCTGTCCTCTGTCCCTGGCTCACTTCAGCATGTCTCGTCCCCCCTCCATTCCATCCCAGTCTGGACTCACACATCCCCCTTCTTTCCCTCCCGCAGGAGTCATCAGGTTGAGGGGACAAGGGCGGTGTCTCCCTGAGTACCTGACCGAGGCCTGTGCCTAGAGCAGCTTCTGGCCCATGGAGTCCTCTGTGGGGTGCTGCTGTTGATTCTGAGAGGCCCCTGGGCCTGGACTCTTCCACCCCCCTTTCCTGAGCTTCGAGTCTCTGCTTTGATACTCCCTTCTCTGGGGCGCCTCCCTGTGTCCCTGTCCCCAGCATGTCTGGCCTACTTGAGCAGACTGCAGAGAACACATGGTGCTCCTCATCGCCTGTGTCTCGTCCTTCCATATTTATATTTGTTTGTGGACTTCTCTGCTTCCCTCAAGACCAGGAGTGCCTGGGGGGCAGCCTGGGTTGAGAGTGTCCCCAAGTCCTGCCAAGGGGTGAGGTAGCTGTGTCCTACATGTCTGGGGACCGAGCCAACAGATGCCAACTTCAGCGCCAGTGAGCTCAGGCCCCAGCACCCCGCATCTCCCTCTTCCTTTCAGCTAAACTTGGCTTTACTCATGATTTCTTACGACTCTGGACCTACGTACCGAAGGAAATCTTCATGCCAACGTAATTGATTGCAGAAATGGGAAAAATAAAAGGAAGCTTTTTGGAGGCTGTATAAATGCAGAATACACGTCTGCATCCTGGCTTTAAGACAAATGCAATTATGGACCTCTAAGCCTGTTTTGGGGGTCCTCCTTTAAAAGGGGGAGCATTTGCAGGTCCCAGCTCTGTAAGCAGGTGGTAGTTCTGACTAGCAGGCACCTTCCTGAATGCATGCAGTGTCCCAGCTCATCCGTGTCCTATGGGGTGGCCCATAGAGCACAGAGCCTGGACCGTGTTGGAGAGGCCTGGGGTTCACTTGGAGGCCAATGAGTCCCGTCACAACAGGGGATGCCCCACAGCTTTAACAGATGGGCTGCAGGCTCCGAATCGCCCGATGGGGGTGAGTGGCAGGGGACCAGCCCTTGCTGGGGCCGAGGGTTTAGCCGAAACCCTGCAGCCTGCCTCGTTCAGCCTGGAGGCCACCGAGGTGGCGGTAGAGAATGCAGAGCAGAGAGCGCGTGTCTCACCTGAGC